CTAGGGAATTCCTTGCTGAACTGCTGCATGGTGATCCGGAAGAGCTGCCGAATGGTGATCAGGAAGAGGCTTTACAAGATAGTGCGATTTCCTTGATACCGCCGAACCCATCTGATTAGGATTTATGATTACTAGAGTTAGATTACCAGTAACTGTGAATATTTGTCATTGGTAACAGTAGGGACAATTACTTGACATTGATTTGAAGCATATACTATTTAGTTTGGCTCCATGTACTTTGTTACTCATTGGCTACCAGCCAATTCCTAAAGGATTTCAGCAAGTGCTGCCTGCAATTTTGGAGAGTAAATATTCTTCGTACGGTTTCAGCTTTGTGCAATTCTAACTTCAACTTAATTGGTCTTTCTGGTGGACTAATATGCAGAAAAGCACACATGCCCTTTGGTTGTGCACATTGGTTTTATTTGAATTTTCTGGAATGATTTATGAAGAACTTTACATTGTTGAACTGACTTAAATTTGAGAGTCATATGAAGTGATTGACATTTGCTTGTGTGTGCTTTTGATTGCCTCCATTAGCAAATTTTTATGTGCATAATTTTCAATCAGTCACATTTAGCCGCACTTAAGTTGTAACATTCAGAATCTTTTAGCTTTTAAAATCCTTGCAGCTTCTTGCCTTCTTCTATATTATGTTTTGGTTTGTTAGATCCCATCTTCTTGCCTATGTTATGTGTTCTGGTCTTTCTGGTGGAATATTATGCAAAACAGAATGTACCCTTCAGTTGTACACATATGATTTTAGTTGAAGTGTGCAGTTTACTATTTTACTTATCTACTTCGATCAATGTCTTAGCTGATTATAATCAGGTTTACATGTACTAGACTGACTTAAAACCGAGAGTCGCGTGAAGTGGTGGCCATCTGCTTGCACGCGCTTTTGATTGCCTCCATTAAGAACTTCTTTGTGTGTGCAATCTTTGTTCTATAATTCTCCACGAGTTTAAGTCATATAACATTCATACAACTTTGCCCATAAGAAGGGATTTCTTTCAGGTTTTCTTCTTGGGTTTCTGTTTTTATCCGCCCACAGTTTGAGTGGTTAGTTCAAGTATGCTCCTCTGTATGTTCTTCAATTTCAGCAAAACCTTAAGTGTAAGACACTGTCGTGCGTACTCCCAGTTGTTCCTCTGCTCCTTGATCATTGAGTAAGCTCTGAGACCTTTATTTTGGTTAAGTCTGAAAGAAAAAGAAACAAAAATATTTTGAGACATGAGAACTTGATGTTCTAGACCCCAACATTATCAAGGAGACCAAATAATTTTTCTGAATAGTCTTATAAAGTTCTGCTGTCCATGTTACTTTATAGTTCACACATTTGATCTCGTTATCTGATAGTTATTTTTCCACTATTAGTGAAGTTATGAGGCACAACTCCAGTAGTCCTTCTGTTCATCCCGTCGGTTGGTTAAATAAGAAGTCCATCCCCTCACAAGTTCCATTATACATATCTTCAAAAAAACTCAACAAATTTGTTTCACCTACAGTGTGAGAAAATTATCTTATAACCAGAAGCCTTTAATGTTAATCTGGTTTCAGCTGCAAGGAACACCAGATCCTTCACTTCTCAGTATTAAAGGTGTCACCGTAAAACTTAGGAAACTTAATTCAGGTCCGTTGACAGTATGATGTAGTTGTTAAACTTGTCACCAAGTACAATCTAGGGATAGTTACTAAGACAAAAAAAGATCATAAATGTGATTTAAAAGAAGTAATTGAACACAATTTTAATGATTGTCGAGAAAATATGCGCCTATACACTGATTAATCCCGCACCCTCCATTAGCTAATATTGATTGATATGCTTTAGTTATCTACCTGGCACAATAGAATTTATTTCTGTTCGACTTTCAATTAAGTGATTCCAATTGTAGCAGGTTCATGGTTGGAATGATTATGCCATTATTCAAGTTTTCTTTCTACTTTGAGGTAGAGTTGCAACACAGCCTCCTTCATGCTAGGCACGTGCGTTTCTCATCCCTAGGGAATTTGCCTCCTATCTTAGAATCTGAGCTTTCTAAAACCTGGACATCCCTTTATATTTGTTGCATAACAAAGCAGGGCGATCCCTTCCCTAACAACTGGATTAGTGCATGTTTTTCTACTAAGGCTTTTATTGGAGTCTGATATGATCTTCGTATCTTGCAAGTTTCACTTGGTTAAAATAATTAGCCAAAGCAGCAGTCTAAACTTGTTTCTTTCCTTGATTTTGTTCCTCATTTAAGCACAATTTTTTAGCTGAAGCAGGAGTGAGTATAGGACTCATGTTCGCCTTGGATCCGTTAGATAAATAGAGGTTATGTGAATTGGCTCGAGGCCATTCTTTCAGCCTGAGCAACTTGGTGGCCACCGCACACTAACGTGCTCAAGCAATGGAAAAGCAAGACAAATGCATTGTTAGATGCAACCACTTCTCAGTTGCAGGGGCTCTGTTCACAGATTTGCCACTTATCTGTACAAAAAAATGGATTGGCAGTGGTACAAGTTGCTTCCAAGTATAAATACACAGTATTCTCCGTGGGCATAGTAGTTCATTGTTTTGATTGATATACATACAACTGTTGAAATTGAATTGAATATGTTTTTATTTTTTTGTGGATTGTGTAATATTGATAAATTCAGTTCAAAGATGTCATTTGTTTACTTGATATTTTGTTTAACCGGAAAGAGATTTAAGTCCAGAATTTGGTAAACGGCCACTAGTCTATGATATGAACATCAAATTGCAGTCTCTGGCTTCAGATCAAGTCTTGTGCATTGAACAACGTATAAGGGGCATTCATTGTCTTGTCCATTGGTTCTTGCTATGTGATAACGACTTATGCTCCAACACTAAATCAAGTCAATTTGGTGTTCTATAAATTGTCATGACAATCTAGCTAATGGTTTTCCCTTGGGCTGGAAACAAATATATCATGCAAATCGAGGGCCACTGAAGTTTGGCTTGAAAGACAAAACTGTTTTTAGCTACTACCATCATTTTCTATCTTTTTAATAGCTATAAATTGTTGAGAGATAAGGTTTCATTAAGCAGACTTGCAGTGGTCGATAATTGAAGAGAGATGCATGATAAACCAAGTTCTGGAAGTCATATATCGTGCCATGATTGTTGAATGATTGTTTATTTATCCCTAGCAAAACTAGAGCTCTTTGCGAGCAGTGCTCAGTACAGGAACACTTTTCTTCCAAAGCATACATAGAAGCTTTAAGGCAATATAATCTCATTTTGGTAATAATAAATGCTAAAATTATAGAGCATAATCAGACAAGATTTGCTTAATTTTGGCCAAAACTGCCACATACTAGATAATACTGGAATCAAAAGACCTCACACATTCACTTTCACCGGTCCCTCCGACTTTTTTCAATAGGCATCAGGGTGAGGATCCAGCATTCACAGAATTTCAGATCTTTTTTGTCCCCATCAAGGATACACCCCATACATCTCCTTAAACCTGTCATAATTTATGACTTCCTAGTGAATTCGCAGTTGGTTTACTTTGTGTTGAGTTTTAAAAAAAAAAGGCAATGCAAACATTTTTTCCCCAAAAAAAAAAAAATCTCAAATCAAGAGGACCTAAATCCTTTTGTATTGCTTCTCTTGAGCATGGTCAGCGTAAGCTGAATAGAATTGGTATTACCTGCACTTTCATGTCTCTCAGTGTAGTCAGGTCAGCAGCACTGTGTCTTTCTGAGCGGCGAGACTTACACCCATTCCATTCGCATTTATCCCTCAAAGATTAAAGACCGATTAAAAGTCTCATATTGCACGTTGAATTTCATAACTAAATTTGTCATAATTAAGTCTGAGCTGTGATGGAGCCACTCTGACCCTAATTATCTGTTTGCTTAGATTCAAAAGAGAGGTGAAGCCTCGAATTCGGTGTCGAAGGTTCTATTATCCTCTTCCTTCATAGATGATAAATCAAGCATTCTTCATTATACAAGAATAGCTAATTCTCAATGTTGCATCAAATTTTGGATTCCTAAGAAAAACTAACTTCTACGACTAATATTCTAATAAATGTGATTCAAGATCGTGGTATCGGTCATCAACTCACGGGGCAATTTCAGCAAAACCTAAGTATAAGACATTGTCTTGAGTACTCCCAGTTGTTCCTCTGCTCCTTGATCATTGAGTAAGCCTCTGATACCTTTATTTTGGTTAAGTCTGATAGAAAAAGAAACATAAAAATATTTGGAGACATGAGAAGTTGATGGTCTAGGCCCTAACAGTATCAAGGAGACCAAGCAATTTTCCTTAGAAAGTTGTGCTGTCCATGTTACTTCACAGTTCACAGATTTGTCAATGGTCTCATTATGTGATAGTTATTTTTCCAACTATTAGTCAAGTTATGAGGTACAACTCCAGTAATCCTTCTGTTCATCCAGTCGGTTGGTTGAACAATGGAACTCAACAGATTTGTTCCGTCTACAGGTGTGAGAAAATCAGCTGTACAACTAACAAAAGCTAGAAACTTTGTAATGCTGCAATGATCGAAAATGCTTCTTGGATTTAGAAGGAAGGGTGAATGATACTTTAATTTAGTCCTTGAAAGATTTTAGACTCGTAACTTATCCTTCAAAGAATAAATTACGATTTTAGACCATAATCCCCTTTCTTCCGCAAATCCCCCTTCTCTTTTGTAAATCCCCAACCTTTAACAAATTGATTCACGTGTTTTGCACGTATGTTAGTTAGGGTATGAATTTCCTGCGTTGCCCTTCATTATCTTGCCACGTGAAGGACTCATGCTAGTGTTTCCGTTAAATGTGTGACAGCATTTATCGATTGGGGTAATATGAAACAACAATGTTAGTTTAAGGGGCAATGTGAGAAAACTAGTAATTGAAGGGGCAAAGTGTGATAGTTCAAGGAGTGTAAATGTAATTTACCTAATTGTATTTTCCAGTTAAAATAATTTTACGATAGGTCCATTTACATGTGTAGTCATTTTTAGTGTGTTAAAACTCTTTTCAATTAGTATTGATTTGCATATTTGAGATTGAGAAGGAGAAGCCTTTATTGCGAATGTTAAGGCTTTGTAGAGTTTTTAGAAGACAGTCTATTGGGTGTGGTGAGGAGTTTAGCCTTACTGATTTTTTGGCAAGTTTGGCTGGAGAGATGCAGACGAAGGGCTGGTGAAAGTATGTTAAATTCATATTCGATTTATCTAAAAATTTGTAGTTTATTGAGATTTCTGGTAAGGAATGTAAAACCTAAGGTGAGGGATGGAGATAGAGGGAAAGGTTTGTTGATTGTCTTGGGTATAGAGATGCCTTATGCTATTAAGGTTAAGGCTAGTTGGGTAGTCTGGGAGTTCCCTTCTGCTGGGTCTTTAAAGATGGATGTAGACGGAGCAGCCAAAGGTAAACCAGGTTGTGCTGGTGGGGGTGTTCTGGTTAGAAATGAGTGGGGGGGAAAAGTTCTTGCTGCCTCTTTCTATTATGGGGTTTGTACTAACATGGCTGCTGAGTTTAAAGCAATGTTGGATGGTTTAAATATGTTGATGAGTTATGGTTTAGAGGGCTTTCATGTTTTTATTGAGTCAGACTCTTTAGTGGTGGTGAATACTATTAAGGGTTTGTTTCAATGTGCTTGGCCATATTTGGGGATTATGGAGAAAATTATGAAGTTGTTGGATGTCCTATATTTTCAGTTGAGACATGTTTACCTTGAAGCAAATTTTGTGGCAGATGGCCTGGCGAATAAAGCAGTTGAGGATGGCTTTTCTACTGATTTTAGTTCATTACAGTTACCTGCGATGGTAAAGATGAAACTTTTACAAGATCAAAGGTCTTTACCGGTTTTACGTAAGAAAACTGTTCTGATTTTTGATGATGGGGGCTGAGATTGGTGTTTTTTGGGGGGGACTGCTGCAGTGCTGGATTTACTGATGAGGATTGAGAACTGCTATGTTTTTTTGGGTCTGTTGAAGCTGCTGGGTTGCTGAGGTGATACTGCTGTGATGGTGGATATACTGCCAGAGAATGCTATTGCAAATTTTGGTGTTTTTTGACTTTTTCTTGATTGTTATGCTTAAGGCAATAGTTTGTTTTGAAGGATTTAAGCCAAGTTGTGGCTTATCTTTTTTGCATCTTGTAAACTTTTTTATTTTTTAATAAAATTTTTCTGTTTAAAAAATAAAATATGCGGCTTCTATATGATAAGTCTTAATCGCTCTAATGTTTTTTGCCAAGATTTTGTTCCATAATGCTTGAAACATCTTGGTTGCAAGTCTTGCATATGTCAATTCTATGGAATATTAATCCCTTAATTCAAGAGACAAACTGTCCACTCCATCCCCTTCATCAGACTTATCTCTTTTACTTTTCTTGTGGTTGTCACTTATTCTTTGCCTCTGCTTAGTACTTTGGCTAACATTTATTATCTGATTTAAGTTGGAGAGGCAAGAAGCATTACAACTTACTCCTTTCTTCTAATCTTAATCATATATTTTTTTTATTTTTTTTTTGGGGAGGGGACTTGAATCCATGATCTCAAAAAATGAGTCATAATATAAATTTAGCTATTAAATAATAATTTTTTTTATAAACAATCAATTAAAATAAATGAATATAATTAATACTCAAGTGAATAAAAATAATTTTATTATTTAAAAAAAAAGGTAAATATTTTTTAATAATTAATAAATTAAAAACCGGCGTCGGCGTACCACGACTTGGAAGAAAGAAAGAAATGCATGTTGGTACACATATAGTAAGAGCATTATTTATGTACTAAAATTCATCTATATCACTTTACAAAAATAAAAAATAGACGTGTTTTTACTTTTTGATGAAATTGTTTTCTTTCCTTTAAAATTTTCTTTAAAAACTTCTGCAACTTATTCGACATTATTGTCGTGCCGAATTTGCTCCATTATGACCCGTACATACAAGTTTAAGTCATACAAAACTACAACTTTGTTGACAAATAAATCTACATAGATCTTACTTTCTTCGGACCACATAGCAGCATAAGCCTTGAGGAACATTCATTTCAACCTTTTATGAAGCATAGTTGGAGAAACGAATCAGTTCATGGGTCAGTAAAGCAAAAATAGCAAAACCAATCCACTAAATTCAAAATTTGGTGAAGAGGCTCCAGCCTCCAGCCTCCAGCCACCAGACAATTCAAATGTTCATCACAATATTATCAGACAACAGAAGGTCCCCATTCCAATCACCCGGCCAGCCTTCCCCATAAAATCAATATGCTTTCTTCAGCAATTATTATTGAGGAATTTGATACAGCACTCTCTACCCTCCTAAAGTTTCGAGATTTAAGCCGATTTCTTGCAGTAATCTTCAAGCCAGTCCATCGTAACGCTCTTTGGCCTTTCAAGTGGCAATCCGAGAGCTCGGTCCCATATGAGCTAAAGCAACATAAAACAAAAATTGGGTTAAGCTCAAGGAAAAAGATTTCAATAGAAAAAAAGGTAACACTTATATGGCAGAGAGAAACCTGAGAGCAAATTCCAATAGACCTTGATACACCGAAGAGGACAGTGTAATATCTGTTGTCAATTTTCAAGGATATTATCTTCTCAAAGTCCAAAATAAATTTAATACACACACACACACACACATATATATAGATAGATAGATAATGGTGATGTAGCAGCTAAATAAAGAACTATATTATCAGTCGTGTGAGAAAATAACAATTTGGTACCTTGCTTCAGTAAGACCATAATGGTTCAGCAACACCCCGCTGTGGGCATCGACATTGGGCCATGGGTTCTTAACCTACAGTGAGTTCCAAAAATTCAAATCACAAAATCTCTGTTTAGCTCATTTTCCCAAAATTAACAAAAAAAAAAAAATCTCAGTTAACTCTGTTTGAATTTTCAATAATTCTACAGGGAACATTAAACGAGTAAACAGACATGACCGCAAGCATCAAAGCCAAATATTAACTAGAATCGATCCAGTAAAGATGCACACATGGCATGGTAATTAATTATCAGAAGATTTTGTGCATTTTCGTATAATAGCTCCGTGTGGTAGAAATGTTTTTCAAAAGATCAATGGATAGTGTGAAACAATGTTTTGCATCATTCAAATCTTTTAAATGGAAACAAATATCTTCTGTATCAGTCCACAGGATGAAAAAAGGTATCATTGCATGGATCTCACACATCATTCTAATCTAGGTGTTACAAGAAAAACACATATGGCTGCATTCCATCTCGTAAACTTCTCCATTGTTTTCATATTATCCGTCCCTCAGAATAATTTAGCCAAAAAACACAAGGCATGCAAATAAAATAGCTGATCAGGAGAGTTACGCAGAGATGTATATTTCGTTTGTGACTCCAATATAGTTTAAAGTAATCTTTCCTTCAATGAGATTAAGGTACCTTGCCAAGTTCTGTAAGTATTGGAGGCACCACATCATAAAGCTTTGAAACCTACAAAAGAAAAGCCAGGCTAGATCATTAAACAAATTGGAATGAAGAATGTTAAGTAATACAAATGCATGACCACCTAATGTTATCAGGGTTTAAATGATAACCAGCTGAAATAGTGGGTCATCAGGTAAGTGCTTCAATGCAAACTCCCTCTGGCACATGTATCTTGGATCTGTTTTACGCAGAACTCCATGTCCAAATCCAGGGACAACCTGCAATTTCAAAGGAATGGATAAGAGCGTAGAGATGAAGCAATTGACCTATATAAGTGAGGATTCTTTTCTTTTCTTTTTTGGTGGGTATAAAATTTACGCAAATAATCAGGTTTAAAGTTAAAATGGATACTGATGATACTAGGGAAAATGGAAACCACCCAACTTGGTTAGACCCAAGGCTAGACAATCTCAAGGAAAGCTATCAAAGAAAGAAGCAGTGGAAGGAACTGGGATGTTAGAACTCTGATGAGGACAAACAGAAAAGAAGTAACTTGACAAAGTGGGCTACAATAATATCATGCTTGAATTATGAATTGCTGTGGTTGACAATTCCACTCCAAAGTATGATTAAATCACCGAGTAAAGGGAGACACTCCAGAAATGCAACACCAAAAAAAAAAATAGAGGGGAAAACCTCATCCACAGCTCTTCTAAATTGGTCTATCTTCAGGGACACTCTTTGCATTATCTTAAACTTCACTGGACTCCCTTCTAGCACATATATTCACTTCAGCTAAACCTCTACCATCATTAATGGTGCTTAAACGCCACTGACAAGCTGATATCATGAGAAATTTATTTTAAAATACCTGTTGCATCCAACCAACCAACCAAAACAACCACCACCATCTCAAAATTCAAAGCCAAACTCACCCAACCATGCACATTTGAGCAAGCATAGATCCAATCAAGCCATGGTCCACCACTGCCCATCCAACTAACACACTCGCACACGCGGTGATACACCACCAGTGGCAGTAGCAACCACCATTGCAGAATTGAAATACCACCACCCAAGCTCCTCAGCCCGCACCGATTGCGACGGCATCGATCATTCCTTCACCACCATTGATGTCTAAGATGATTAGGTTTTCCTAAATTTAGAAATAACATAGACCCTATCAAGCCCTAAATTTTCTTAGGGCTAATGAATCCATAAAATTTGTAGAGTTTTGACTTTTCGTTCACTGTTTTGCTAGAAATTTAGCCAAAAATTCCTTCTGCTTCCAATTACAGCAACTTCAACCGGAGAATTTGTGACAATGGTGATGACTGACAGAGAACAAAGACAGAGGCATTGAAGTGGCCTGAAGGGGGGTGAGGGTTTGCTTGCTGCATCTTAGAGAGAGAGAGAGAGAGAGAGAGAGGTGGGTCAAGATGGGTGCAGAGGGGTGGCGTAGGAAGTAGATTGGTGGGAGGGCACAAGTGGTGGAGTACGTAGGGAGTTGGAAAAGGAGCAGAGGAGGTGGGTGGGGAGGGGGATTTGTTTCTGGCCCTAGGTTTTGTATGAAATTATATTACAAATATAAATATATATATATATATATATAGAGAGAGAGAGAGAGAGGAAACAACTGTTTGTAAATCAGTCTAAAGAATAGGGGTAAATTGGTAAAAGATGCATTCCCATTATCTCCGTCACATGACAAACACTGATGTTTCAGATAATAAATGGGGTCTCCTTGAAGATATGTCTATTTACTGGGAGTGTGTATGAAATTTCCCAAAATAGAAAGTCATCCCAAAAATAAAATTGAATTATTCAGTAAAATTTACAGTAGTACCTTGCCACTCTTCAATGTTTTCCAGACATAGTCTTTCAACTGCTCGGTGGTAATGTTTTCTCCACATTCATCCACCACAGATTTGATCCATAGCAAAACTTCCTGAAACAACATGATGGAAGTAAGTACAAGGAAAGCAATAGAAATAGTCTAGCAGGTAAAATGTCATAATTGAATTTTGTAGCAGTACTTACAGGACAATATGGATACATGTGACATTCAGAACCCAAGATGTTAGAAACATATAGAACTAGGAAACCTCAAACAAAATTAGATAATGTTAATACAATATGCCTATCTGAAAACATCAGACTCAAAGTATGGCATGATAAACAGGGGCAAACTAAGAAGAAAATGAATGTAAAATGACAAAACGACATAGAAGCATATGATTCACCAGAAGACACTGCCCTTAGATGAGCTGAGGGGAAAAACAAATTGAACAGCCAACACAAGCAAATGAAACAAAAGGGTTATTAGGTTAAGTATTTTGTAATACTTTTGCACAAATTTCAGAACTCTATTGTGGGTGTCTAACTTTTCTAGAAGAAACAGAAAAATGTTCAGTTTCACACGAAGCTTAAGCATCAATATTATCCCAGCATAACACCAACTTGAATGTTTTGACTGAATTATTGGGTTCGCTTTAATTTGCAACACATGTTTTGTCTCGTTTGCACAGTATTCTGGGAAAATTTAGACCTTTTTTTTTTTTTTTCATTTTCCACATGTCAACTGAAAATGTCAGCCCCACAATTATGTGCAGAGCAAGAGCTCCTGAGATTGCACTGAAGCTTTACACACGACAATTCTAGTCAATCCGGGAAGTGGATTTCCAAGTTTGAGCCCAGGTACTCCTATCCCATGGGCTTTCATTGGATATATACCACTTTTTTCTTTTCTATTTGTTTCCCTTAGTTGTAAAATATGATTGAATCCTAAAATGTCTACTATAGTTTTGAATCCTAACATGTCTACAATAGAGACACAAGGAGTAGATCAATATGTCTTGGTGAGAGCCAGAGCAAGTGTTCATTAGCATTTCATGTGCATGCAGTTAGCCTTTTTCACAGATGAGGGCAACACCATAAACTTTGGCAGTAGAAAAAATCGTTTTAGAAAAACAAAACCAAAAAAAGGTGCAAAGGGGATATGATACCTGATTAGCCAACCCATGGAGTGGTCCAGCTAAACCATTTAATGCTGCAGCAAATGAAAGGTAAGGATCTGAAAGGGCACTAGCAACCTGGATCAAGTGTGAAACCAGTTAGTGTGAGTTTCTCTTTTGATGTTTCTGAATTCGTAACTCCATAATATGACCATTTAAAAACTGCCAAATGTAGAGTCATTAATTTTAAATTATAGCATTTAAAAACTACCAGGATAGAGTCACTTACTAGGTGACCAGTGTGAGCACTAACGTTTCCACCTTCATGATCACTGCAACAGATTACAAAAAACATGCCTAAGCATATGTTAATCAACACTTACAGTGTCTGAGCATAAATCATGTAGCCCTACACAAAATAGAGAATATGTAAGCTAGTGAAAGTATAAACCCACCTATGGATGGTGACATAAAGCCTCATAAGCTCTAGCATGTCGGGACTATCAAAACCAAGCATGTGTGCAAAATTAGCACCATAATCTAGGGAGTCATCCATGGGTACAACTTGTCCGTTCTTGTACATCCTTCACAAGTACAAGGAAGGGATCAATCCAAAAACTAAAATAAAAACAAAGTTGGTCTAAACACAATACCACATAATGACTAATGAGGCACTAAAAAAATGACTTAGCACTATCAATACCACAAGATAAAGTCGAATTACAAGCATGAACATGCACATGCCCACACAAGAATTTGATCACAGGAGTGCATGTGTGCGCGCATGAATACACACATGCAAACCAACAAGATACTTTTGAAACCCCAAACCAAAATAATTCAGGAGCTGTATAAAAATCAACGCATAACATGTATTATTGAAAATAAGCTATGATATACTTCACAAACCTGCGGTAGACATATGAAGCTACAACTGGTACTTGAGCGATCAAATTAAGAGAGTCCACATAGGTTGGCTCCCAGTACCTAAAAACAGAAAAACCTAAGAGCTTGCATAATGATATCAATAGCATTTTCTCATCAGATAACTGCTTATCAGAGACTCACTTTGATTTATGAATCCCATTCTCATATGCCTTCTGAAACTCACTTTGAACCTGAAAGTTGCAACCAAACAATTGAATTGTGAGCTGGTATATATTAAACTCAAGTACTCAACATAGAAGGACTTCACGCCCTTGAGACACTTCACACAGTTGGTAAGCCAGTCCCCACTTGCCAAAGGTTTCAAAAATGCAGCTGGATCAGCAAAATATTTTCCAACAGACAGCATAGCACCCACCCAGAGTGACCCCATTTTACCCAGGCTGACAAAGTGGCAGGAAAGATTAAATCACTGACATCCAGAATTGTGAATGGACAATGATGAACTAATCACAATAATTTTGAAATGCTAAACGTGCTCTTTATCAAAAGAGAATTGTCAACACATTTAGTTTGTTTGGTCACTGTCAGAATTTTTAGCTTGTCAACCTACACATTTGAGCATTCATAGTCAATAATTAATTAAACAACTAATCAAAGAACATAAAAATGCATGGACAATATGACAAGTGTTTCAGAATGACCATGACAAGACAAAAGCACGGTTTTATCCCCAAGATGCATGGTTGGAAAGGAGAACAAAAATACATAGAAATTAGCAGTTCATCAATTAACCTGAAGAGCCATGACACCAGTTGCAAACTGAGTCATAGGATGAGCGCTAGAAGGTAAGGCATCAATGGCTTTATAAACATGATCTGCAAACACAAATGGCAAGTTCACCAATAAAAACAGTTGCATGGCTGATAAGAAACCAGGGTGCAAATCATTTTAACATAATCTCTACTCAACCTATGTAAACATATGGGGTTCCAAGACGCAAAGGCATAAGTAAATGACAAAGAACAATTCCATTGAGACTCTCACGAGCTTCAAGTAGTCGGCCAATTAAGGGATTGAAGTTAAAGTGAAAAAAATCAAGTAGAAATCTCTCATTAATGGGAGTCATATCTAAAGGTATCCCCAGTAGCATATCAACAAAATAAAAAAAATCCCTTGTAACCAGGGGGGTTGGCTCATAACAATAACAAAATATGTAATCCTTAAACAACCCTATTCAAGACGTGATCAAAATCTGAGCCATGAAAGAAGGAATTAGTGGATACAAAACCTGGGACAGCAGCACGACTTCGCAATTCCTTCGATAATGCATCTACTTGATCTTTAGTTGGTACCTGTACAAAGATGAGGTAGGAGAGAAAAATAAAAAGAAAAGTAAGCTTAATCCTAGAAAACAAGAGCCACATGGTACAAATTTTTTGGTAAATAAATGACAGAAATATAATCACACTTCAAAGCAACAATAAAGTAAACAATCAAAGTAAATTAATGTAATCAGCAGCGCAACTATAAGTTCAAGCTTAGCAGTAATTCTATATTCTAAAGGGAAAATTTAAAATAATTCCAATATATCCACTAAAAAACCATTCAGTTCTATCATATTTCTATCAGGACACTTGAGTCTTACTTTTAAAATACAGTTTTGAATAAGTCCTAAAGTTACTAGTTCCTCTTTTTCCCTTTAGATTTTTACTATCAAAATATGTTTAGAATTAATTTAAGTTTTTCAATAAACTAGTGGGAACAATCGGCTGAATGACTCCAATTATATTATACTTTATTACAATGATGCTTGCCAAAAAAAGTGATTTGAAAAAAGTCTAAAAAAATTATCTTAGATTACTTAAATATAGATAATTTGTCAAATATTAACATAAATCAAAAAAACATTTGGTAGAAAATTGATTAAAAAGTTGAGAAGTATAATTGGTGTCCATTAGAAAGGAGAAAATTGGCATAAAATCTACTCTTTATGGCGTTTTGACTAGTTTGAAATAAATGATTAAAATGTCCTAATAAACAATTTGATATGGCAAAATAATTTTCCACCGAGAAAAGGACTTATTAGGAATTTTCCCACTGTTAAAACTTGTCCCACAGATGTAGCATAACACATCCCAAAGTAGTATACGAGTCTTGTGGGCAATATATCCAAACAAGACTTTAGTATCAAGTTAAACCTCATTGGTGATGTTTCACATTACAAATCTATGTCCTCTTCTTTAGTGTCAGTTCCAATACAGAACTTTAATGCCTTGATACATCATGAGTCCCACCTTTCCGGTTAAAAGAAGCCAGAGAAGACCCTCAGGCAATGGCTCTCCACCAGGCCTTGCTGCCGGTAATAACTTCTGGCATTCAGGTATAGACATACCCCGAAAGCGAATCCCCTGGTACAAGAGAAAAAGAAGAAGGAAAAGAACACCTTTCAGACATGAAACCACTGAAGTTCCCTCATGCTGCATTTACCCACCAACTAATCACTTGTGTATATGATAAATGAAACCCTGCTGCATAAATATCTCATAAGAAACTCTAGAACTGAGACATGGGGCATGTACCTCATCTGGGTCAAGTAATGAGGTTTCCCACAGCATCCCTGTCATTCCTCTCATCCCACCAAGTACCTTTAAAAATGTAACAGAATCCATAAGAACACATGCCATAAGATAGAGTATTTACCCAAAAGGACAGAATTAAGACATTGCATATTCATAAACCCCTGCCACAAATGCAAGACAAGGACAGATGAAGAACAGAAAAGTACGATACCATATCAACAGTGATGTTCCCCAGCTGAACCTTTCCATATTCTGACTTTATTTTTTTAAGGCGCTCCTGTGGGGAAAAAAGAAATATGGATAATGAAGCATACACGTGAAGCATTTGCATCTTGTTCATTGTCACAATGACTGAGCTCCAAGCACATTTGAGATTGATCATATAACAATTTGACACTTTAGATATAACCTTTGCAACTTATTTGTAAAACAATGTAAGTTCAATAAGCCAACGGTGGTTGACCACCTTTTACCGCATAAACTTCTTCAGTAACAGTATGAAGTATGATATGAAGGATGATTTGCAATTCAAACCCCTTCCCTCTCTCCCAAAATAAAAAAAGAAAATAAACAAATAAATAAACCCCTCTCATCAAAGCAGGATCAACAGATCAAGCAGAATGGACCACCGATTGGAAGTCCATAAATGTTTTAAAGAACACTGTCAAGTTCAGTAAAATGTACCTGCTGTTCAGGAATAAATTCCTTCAGCTGAGAATGAAGGTCCTACATTGAAAGAAGAATTATAAGAGAAGGGCTGTTTAATATATATATTCGAAATATAATTCCAAGTATATAGCACATCAATGCATCCAATAAGACTCGATGTTTAATTTGTCATAAATTTGTACTGCAGCATGTGAACTCCTCAACATATCAAAAGCAAAGAGTTACACTGGCAAGCAGTTAGGTCCAACAAAAATTTATATGCCGGAAGAAACACAAGCAAGAGAATGACAGCATAAAGAAAAAAAAAGGACCAGAATTTGACAGCATCAGTGTCTCCAAACAATCCACTACATGTCAACATTCATGCATGCCTTTGTTAGTGGGATGCCGGCATTGGTACCAGCATATGCTCTTACACCTACAAATCTCCCTTTCTAGCCTCCAACAAGTCAAAACAAATTTCTTTCTTGAATGCTGGGTAGATCATCAACGAAAAAGAAATCATGTAGCAGAACCCAAATAGCTAGGCCAAAAGATTTTCTTAATCGGGTTGAATTTTCATCCAAAAGGGCTGATCATTGGACCAGTGTCACCTGATGAAAACAACACTTTGTTAAGTCTATGGTTTCAACAGAACACTGCGCTAACGCCTCACACTGTGGAAAAAGGGCGAGGGGAAAATCAAAGCACACATTAAAAACTAGGTCCACCCAGTGTTATTTAAGGCATAAAACAAATCAAAGAACTCAAGTCTCCTGAGGCCTAGGCGAGAAGTGACGCAAAAGCTTCATCGAAGTGAGGGGAACAAATAGAAACAAAGCAAATATTTTAGTTAAGTTACTACTAAGTATCAAGTTCCAACTTCTCAAGAACTAAATATTCAAATGCACCTCAAAGCATAACCATTTAAATTGAAACCAGCATCAATAACATTCCAAATCTTAACGTCAACCAAAACATTAACATTTAAATTTAAATAAATGTCAAAAATATATCCAATCCTAGCATTTGAAAAAAAAAAACCAAAATCAAATACCATAAAATGTTCAGCTCCATCTTAGAAGAAGAAAAAGAGGATGAGAAGAGGAAAGGGAACAAGTACACACACCTGGTCTCTGTCGTGAATCATTCTAGAAGAGAAGAAAAAGAAGAAGTTGATCTAGTGAATCTCAGCCTCTAGGCCATAGATCGTTGTTTTAGAAGTAGTAGTAAATCATTTCTGAAGAAGAAGAAAAAGAAGAATCGGAGGAGGAGGAGGAGGAGAAGAAAAAACCTAGGTGAATTAGGTTCTTTGGTCACAACTTCAGCCCTCACGACTCTTAATTCTCAATCAATTTTGTTGTAAAAACTTTAAGATTAGACGTATATATGGATCAAGTAGCAATCAATTGTTATAGCATGTCCAATTTTTTATTTAATTGATCAAATATAATGGCCCGCAATAGATCCAAAATCAAAATAAAAAATTTACTAACGGATTCGCTTTTTCGCTTAAATGGGAAGCGTTCGCCTTGGATGCTTAATCTTTGCTTTCGCAAAGCTCGCTTCTCTTGGACACTTCTGGTGACCTGGGCTTGCCTGAACTCACTTCTTGCCTAGGTAATCGCGTAGGTGCACTTTTAATAATGCTTGGTCAACCACATCATTCTGGCCTCTCACCTTACTCTATTTTGAATTATATATTTAAATTTATTTGACCCATAAGTTTGTAATGGCCAATCCTGACAATTTCCTTATAAAACTTTTGAACTGCTTTGGACTTCATAAGTGCAGCCAAGGCGTCAATGCTCTGGCAATGGCCCTGCAAGAGATAAAACTTCACATAGAACTTTTGAAGCAGTAGTTTTTGTGGGCACAGAGAAAAATATTAACATACTTAGTCACTCCATTTCTCTTCTAAGGATGATTTCTACAGATTTCTCCTATTCGCTCTAAATAAACATTTTTAACAGATTAATGTATGAATAAACAGTTGATTAAAGCATGATAGTGGAAGTTTGGTAGGCCATTTGGCTACTGTGAGCACTGCTTTGGGGCTGTTTTGGGGTTTCTTAAGTGGGACATGGTTAAACAGTAAAAACTTAAAGGGGGAATCTAGTAATTTGTTTGGTGATGGTTCAAGAGGAAAACAACAATAATTCAGATCAGGTTGTAGGCTCAAAAGAAGCTTAGAGTTGCTAGAAATCAAGCAAGTAGAAGACTAAAAGAGGAGGAAAGGTGAAAAGAAATGTAGGCCTCACATTTAGGCTCTTATACCTCACACTCAACATAATATGCATCACACATCATAAAGAGGATATTTTCTTGCACCCACTATCAAAAAAAATGTAGCTAGATGCCCACATATGGAGGGTCAAGATACTCAAGACTGGAATCAAGTAGAAGTGGTAGACAAATAAACTAAGGCGCATGTAGTTTAATTTCAACACTTCGGATCTTACCTGGACCTACTGAATCCATCAACTATACCCAAATTTTACAAGAAATCCCACAAATATAATAAAAGCCCATATTGCAGTCCACCCCACAGCACATTGATGAAATGAGGAAATTATCCATGGAAGTTAACTCTTTCAAAATCTTTGCTAAATCTAACAACACAACATTACTAATTACTAAATACATAAAAGAGACACCTAAAATTTTCAAATGAACTGAGTCCATCCTTGAAATTGACTCAATCTCCAGTTTTGTCCATTCTTGGTATACACCAATAGTTAGTCGTGATACACATACAGCCCTGTATCATCAATCGAAAAGGAAAGAAAGACAAAAAAATGTTTTTTACTGAGCAATGAACAGCTGCTTGCCAAACTATGTCCTCAATGAAATATATTCTCGTTTTTACAGGTGAACTAGGGAAGGCACGTCTATCAAGCACTAGTTGCAAAAAAACACTACATAGGATATAAAAGAAACCCAACTAATAAGGCCAATAACCAACATTGCTTCGCCAATGCTAGGTACAAGGAATTATAAGCAAGTTACAGAATTAACCACTAATAGTATCTATCTAAGTGATACGACTTCAAAGTTCAAAACTACATTGTCACATTTGACAACTTGAGCTTCTACAATTGCAGAGAGTAATTGGCCCGATCCAGCAAACAAAGACAACCCTAAAATTGATGTGTTCTTTGTTAGTTTGGGAGATTTCTCAATTTCTAGGCAAGATTTTCAGTGTCCATTAATTTCTCACCTTCTATGACGCAAAGTAATTTCAATTTTTCAAACTATCAAGCACACAAATGACATCACACTTGACAGCTAATAGTCCTATTATTATGCAGAAGAACCGTGTGCGTGAACATAGAAGTAAGGTTTCTTATGATATATTCATCATTTTACCATGTGTTTTCCCCCTTCACACTATTAAAAGCTTACGACCTTCACAGTTCTCTGGTCTATTGCCCTGAGTTCATTAAACTGCCTTCTCACACTTAGCCCCTTAGTTTTCAAGGTATAATTAACAGTTAAATCATGGTCAATTTTAATTCATGTAGTACAAAATTTTGCCGTTCTTATCTGTGCTTATTTCCAACTGTGTGCTTCCCTATCTATTCCCGTCTTTCACTATAACAGTATCTTTAAAAAAAAACCTTCCAACTTAATCAGGTAAGTTCATCACAACAATACTTAAAAACACAAGGACCCACGAACGAACACACAAAAAATTAAATTCCAGATACTTAATACGATTATGTGTCTGTGTTTGTGAATATATATACATAGAGAGAGAGAGAAAGAGAGGGAGGATGGGGGGAGGAAGGAACTTACAAGATCAGTGGAGGTCTGAATTTGAAGCCAGCGCACGGAGTTGCTGAGACTAGGCTGTTGAACCTGTGAAACGAATTCATATCAAAAAGATATTCCAAGAAAAAAGGAAAAAAAAAAACAGAAATTACAACGCAATACACCAGCATCAACAGAAATGCAAATGAAAGCCATCGCAAAAATGAAACAACACACGGTCAGTGAATTACAGCACGAGAACGCAGCTTGGAAAGCAGAGAAACGCTTCTGAAGAACACCATCCCTAGTCCCAATTCAAACTGCACCGGTGTGACAAAATATCACAATTACAAAATGAAAACCAGATCTATATAAATACACACAAGCTTGTATACATATGTTCATCATAATAGACGTGCAGAACGTGAAATTTCACCTAATTGAATCAGTTCGAGTTGCAGAAACGAAGAAGGAAGATCGAAGAAGTAGTAAGAGCGAAAGAGAGGGAGGGAGACGTAGACCGAAACACTCTGAAGAGAGAGAGAGACCTCAGAGGTGAGACGAACACGTGTAAAAAGTCAAAAGCTTGTGGCCCATATACCTAATGCGACATTTCGTTCCTTTGTGGAGCTTCTTTTGGTTTGGTGGTCAAGTCTTAGCAAAAAATTTTAGGTCCAATATTTCTGTAATTTTTATTTTTTTAATAGACAAATTTTTAAACTAATTCTGATGATCAATTCAAAATTTGAGACGATTCAAGTCTAAACACTTTATAATTAAAAAAAATAAAATAAACATCAATCATATAATATAAATATATAAAATAAAAAAAAATTGTATTAATTAATTACATAATTTAAAATTAATTTTATCCCGCCAATTAAAAAAATAATCGGGACAGTGTAAAAAAAAAAAAATAAGAGAGATAAGAATTTGTTTGGTCTTGGTTAGCGAAAAAAAAAAAGTATGGTATGGGTGGAATTTTTAACTTTGGAGAGAGAATGACTTGTTTTTTATCAGATCGATAAAGAAATTAGTCGAGGTGCATGTAAGACTGTAAAATGACTCGGACACAACCGACTATTAACCTTAAAAAAAAAAAAGAGAATCTAGCTTTGATTAGCATAAAAAACATAGGCTGATTTTGAAAGATTTTTTTTTTTTTTTGTGATAATTTTGTATCATTGGATTGAGTGAATCTCAATCACTCTTGTAATAAATTAAGTTAAAAGTTATAAAATAGGTCCTTTTTTTTTTTTGAATCGAAATAGATGCTGTTTTATTATATAGTTTTTGTAATTTTTTATTAAAAATGGTGTAGTTTTAAATTTATTTATTAAGTTATAGTTCTTCCATAAAAGCGTGCTTTTGAAATGTGACTTTTAATAGAAAGGATGTTTCAAAGATGCGTTTTTACATGAAAAGTATGTTTCTAAAAACACTTTTACAGTACCTATTACCTAACCCAAAAAAGCACGCACACACACACTTTTATAGTGAAAAAGCATACTTCAAAAATATGTTTTGGCATAAAGATTGTTAATTGAGTAAATGAATTTAAAATTATGGTATTTTGATATAAAAAAAATAGTTGACAGAAATAGGTAAAAATATAATTGATTCTTCGTTTTAATAACTTTGAGTTTAAGTGAGACCAATGTAAATTGGTTCAAAAAAGATTAAGAATAATATAATAGGCCTGTTTTGAGCTAACTTAAATAGGTAATTTTTAACTAATGGGTATTTGGTCTAATAGTACTCTTTATTTTATAAAGGTTTTATCTTCTTAAGGCCAAGGATTCAAATCTCTCGCCCCTCTCCCCCAAAAAAAATAAATAAATAAGTAGTTTTTAAGGATTTGGAGTAAAATAAGTTAGATCCATTTGGAATGGACCTTGACTCTTTATTAGTTTATACAGTAATTTTTGGACTCAAAAATGCTTATTTAGACTTATTTTTAGACTGATTTTATTAATTTTTATTTCGTTTTTTTTAAGTTTTGTCGTGGATCTCACATAAATTTTTTAATTTATTTTATTCACAAAATATTATTAGTGACATAAAAAATTTAAAATTCATATTTTGGGAACTATTGTGAATAATTTATATATACATATAATTATTTTTTTATTTTAAACTAAAAAAACTAGAAAGTCACTTCAAGCGGATTTTTCCAAATTTTTGAGATTTTTAAAGAACACCCCAAATGATTTTTGAGAGTTTTCTAACTCTAATTTTTTATAAAAAAATTTTAAATTGCGGTTTTTCACCTAAAAAAACTAGTTCCCAACAGGCCAAATATTAGAATTGATAATTTTCTGAATCGTGTATTCTTATGCTCGTAATTAAAAATTATAGCCAGAATACTTTTAATCACTCATAAATCGCTAAAATGTTAAAATCAATCGACCAAAACTTATAGAAAATTGAACTTAGGACTGCAAAATGGCAACCCCCTCAATCCTGTCCATCCAAATTATCCCTGGTAACTTGCACATCGAATAATTTGCTGTAATAATAAAATTGAACAAACCTTCGTTTTGGTCAAACATTACAAAAATTGTCAAAACTTGGGCGCTTCCATAATTGGTCAAAGATTATTGGCCCCAGAAACTGCCAACAAAAATCAACTTAGTGGGCCCTCAGACTTTAGGTGTTTGGTTAAGCTAAAAGTCAAATTACACCAGCATGTAATGGGTCGAATTTTATGGTGAGAAACTATCAAGCAGCTGGTCTAGTGGATCAACACTTAAATTTTCTCACAAAGTGTTTGGATTTGAATTTTTATAGTTACAACAGTTTGGTGTGGCTAAACTTATTTTCAGCGCCTGGAGCGGAAGGTGAAACATTAACTTTAGTCCCAACGAATGTATGATAGTCTCCTGTATATAATTGTGTGGTGTTGAGTAACAATATTCTCTTACAAATACGTGTAGTGCTCTATATATTAGAAAAAAATGGTTTTAAATAAGATTATTTGAACAACTTAAAGCTTAAATAAAAATAGGACTCATACCTCAAAATTAATGGAACTAAGTTTAAACACGTTTTCCTCCATGAAGATATTTAAAAGTTGTATATTTATTGTCTAAAATTATTAAGATTTAAATGAGAAATTATGTCTCAAACTGACCCATTTAAAGTGATAAAATAAATTAAGATTGATGTAGTGAAATAAGATTTGTCCCACATTAGAAGAAGACTAACACTTTTGTAAGTTAATAAACTCTTAGTTAGCTTCATGAATTGGACCCAAAGGTGTATCAGATTTTCGTGAGCAGAGTAAGCGTCTACATTATCTTGGTAATCACATGCGTGCCGCCCACCTTGCCACGACCTGGCCTGGCCAGTTTGGGTTTGGGCAAAAAAAGTTTAATCTTTTATACAAATTCATTTGGTGCGGTGCAGGTTGTAGGTCAATTCGAACGGTCCAATTCGCGGATCGGTCTCTGCTTTCCAACAAAAATTTAAAGTCCAACTAGATTTTAAATTTTATTACCGTTAAATTTGAAATTAGCGCCGAATTGAATAAGTCTGTTTATTTGTACCAAAAAAGTATCTTCTATCTTTGTGGTTGATCGAATTAAAAGAGTGTGTCTCTTCAATCCAAACAGTGGCAACTTATGCCTCTTCAGGCAATCTGAACAGCCATCAAGAGTCTATAAATGGCTAATCCTCTAACCATTTTCAATCCATCCCAATTCTAGGTTCCAATTTTAGAATTTTTTTCTCTCTCTGTGCATATTGCAGCATTATTTTTTTAATTCGGTTAAAGTATAAACATAAGTTGTATTCGTTGGAGTCTTGAAGTTTAAAGTGCTACTTCTTCACGAATGTAAAATCTGTTCTATCTTGGGAGATAGTTGCTCATCAATCTTGAGCACCGAGATGGAGCAATCTGTCATTAAGGAAATTGTGTTTTACAAGATTCGGATTATCTATTATACTTTTCTTATTAATTGCTCGTGAAGATCTGCGTTTCTGTGAGTGCACTATTTATGCTTACTATATATTTTGTTTAGATTAATGCATAAGTTAGATTTTATACAGTTTAATATAAAGAGAATTACATCCAAACCCCCTTGAAGTTTATCACTTAATTACTTAGACCCTTTGATATTTGAAATACTACGCATAGATTTTCTGAAGTTTGTACGCGTAACACTTACACCTTTGCTATAAATATATTCATTAATAAATTACACACAGACCCTTAAAGTTTATAAACATTTATTACTTAGATCCCTTAAGTTTAAAATATTATACTTAGACAAAAAATACTTCAGTTAAAGATAAAATACCAAACATTTTAAAATTTTCAAATAAAATTCGTGTTCTATTGTATCATTTATTGAAATAAAATTAAAAATCAAAATTTAATTTTTTCTTAAAATATTATAATTAATATGCAATTATATTATCCATTGGAATTTAATTTGGTCGTTTAAACGACCGAATTAAAATACCAAACGGTAATTAAAGCTAAAAAACTATTGTGTTCATTATAGTTTGACCCCTTATTTAATTTTTTAGTTTCATTCTAATATATACTATAATTATATACTAACTATGATTTTTTAAAAAAAATTAGATTTATATTTTTGATTTTATTTCAATAAATGACATAATAGAACATGAATTTTGGTTTTAAAATTCATGTTCTATTATGAATGACTTAGACCCCTTATTTGATTTTTTTAGTTTTATTCCATAGATTATGTAATTGTATACTAATTACGATTTTTAAGAAAAAATTAAATTTTTGTTTTTAATTTTATTTCAATAAATGATATAATAGAACATAAAATTTGGTTGCAAAATTTAAAATATTTGATTAGAATATTTTTTGTCTAAGTATAATATTTTAAACTTAAGGGGTCTAAGTATATATGTTTACAAACTTTAGGGGGTTTAAATATAATTTATTAACGGATATATTTACAAGAGGAGTCTAAATATTACGCGCGTACAAACTTCAGGGGTCTGTGTATAATATTTTAAATATTAGAAGGTCTAAGTAATTAAATTATGACCTCAGGGGATCTAAGTATAATTCTCTTTTTAATATAATATAATTTTATACATATTTTAAATAACACTGTCTGCATATCCATTTAACGTACCAACAAAAACTATTATATTGTGAAATCACTTAATATGTAGCACCGCACCTTATTTGGTCCATATTTTTTGTCCTTTTTTTTATTAGTATTGTTCCTTATTCTAATGACCGATTGAGTGTGTGATTTTACGAAGGATTATACATATTTTAATTTCATATAACAACCACTATGATGAGACT